ATTTTTGCCTTCATACTCCTAAATGATCAGGCCTAACCAGGCTTGATTAGGCCTGATTAGGCTGAAATGATTACTAATCATGTGTAAAGGTGTCAACCTAAATAATGTGCTTAATCTGTTCGGTAATAAATCAAAACCTGAACTCTGAAATTCTCTCATAAATTATCAAATAATTTCATGGGCCAGCCAGAACATGTTGGTGAGGACACCTGTTTGAAATTCATAATGAGGAGTCAGGAGAGACGACCACACACACACACACACACACACACACACACACACACACACACACACACACACACACCACACACACACACACACACACACACACACACACACACACACACACACACACACACACACACACACACACACACTGTTGCCCTGTTCTTGGCTGTGACTCTGAGCCGAGTTGCAGGTCAGACGAAGGCTAAGAATAAACTCACCCTGCTGAGAGCATCCCTTCATCTCACACACAGCGAGTTCACTATTCCTTTTACCCTTTCCATCGACACACACACACACACTCGTATAAATTCAAAACACCAAGAAAGGAGCAGAGGACACAGTTAGAGCTCCACACTGAAATCTAAGACGCTCGTCGACTCCACTGGGGAATCAGCCAGAGATGGATAAAAGAAGCCCTAATTGACTGAGCACAGAGAGAATTAATTACTTCCTGCATCGTATAATGGGGTCACATAATGAATAAATACAGACGCACACATAGGTTCACCCAGAGTGACCCTGAATAATTCTCCCGCTCCTCCGCAGGTCACCCACAGAGCTGCCTCTCATGTCAAAATGTGACATTTTTCTCATGATATTCAGAGAAACCGCTGCTTCTTAAAGAGCACAGCAGCAGGAAACACCTTCTGCTTAACCCTTTAACTGCTAATGCGGCGCTGTGAGAGCGCCACTTCATGCAGCCGTGTTTCAAGCTGCACGCTTGTAGTTTCCACAGTGGGATTTCATCATCAGGGTCAAGTCTTTCCTTCTCAAAGTGACGATGCAGAGCGGATTTCTTCACCCTTAAGGGAAACTCGTCAGAGTGGCCGAACTGACATTTCCTGAATGTTTTAAACTACCTGCTTCCACACATCTTTCAGGAGGCACCCCTCCATGTCTTAGTGCAGAAAGGAGCCTGACCTTTGACCTGTGACTAAGAGAAAACATGTTTTCTTCCACGTAGAGTGTGGATCTGCGCCACCATTTTGTGATTTGAAAGAGGAACTCTAAGGGCGTAAAGTCGGGGGCAAAGTCACATTTGTTACATTTTCACACTGAGTCAAACCAATCGAAGTAACCGAAAAACCTATTCACCCTCCTCGCCTTCGGGGGCGCTGCACCAAGAACGACTGAAGGAATCAGAACAAAAACCTCTGAAGACGTTGAGCACAACTTCCTTCTTTATTAAATGTAAAGAAAAATGGAGAGATCCCTGCAACGTACAGGAGAAAAGACACGCTGCTGACTTATGAAAAATATCCACCTCCCTGCATTATGATAATGTTTTGTTACAGCTTAATAAATGTTTGGTTTATCTGATAAAATCCAAACTAAATACTCTGAAGTTTGGAGACGAGATACGGCTTCCACATGAGGTGGAAGCTAAGATTGAATATCTCATGTGTGTTTTGACGACATAATGAAATCACAGCGCCATCCAGTGCCCTGGCATGTCAACTACAGCAGATTCAAGATGTCTTGGTGCAATGTGTCCCCAATACCCATCCAAAAATGCTGCCAGTTTCTAATAGATCACTCCCCACTTCACACCTGCTCTCCAACACGGCTTTCTGACTGCAGCATTTAAATCTTCTGATAAAAATGCATGTTTCCCTGAAACCTGCAGCGAGTTGAAGCTGAAATAGCTGCAGTTTTTCCCATTCCAGAGGCATTGCTTTCAGCTTTGCCTTGGGAGCTGAAAACTAAACGAAGCGAACATTACTGCCGATTTTGTACTGGAATCACTTTAGTGGAAGAACCTGAGTTTTAAACGGAAGAGATCTGTTTGATTTTATTTATTTGTAAAATAAAATCTGCCCAAAATGTTAGCTGAATACATCACCGGAGGCAGAAACAGGGAAGATGACATCCGAAATAGCAGAAGGTGAAGAGATGAGAAATGAGGTGCCAGGGAGAGGAAGGTGAGGAAGGCAAGAGGGAAGAAAGTCTGACAGTATAAATATGCAAAGGTTAATGCAAATTAGGGAAAGGTATAAACTGACAGCAAGGTGGAAGCAAAGGTGAAGGAGCGAGAAAACTCACACTGAAAGGAAGTCTAAAAATATACGACACAGAGGAAGGAAGAGAAAAGGGTAAGAGAATATTTGTTCATAAAAACATGATAAAAATGGCAACATAAAATAAATATTCACAAAAAAATAGAGAAAAGGAAAAAAACAAAATATTGAAAGAAAAAAAAGAAAAAAATATATAAGAATAAAAATCTGTTGTTCATTGGTAAAAAATAAAACAAAATTTTTTTCTTTTGGCTTCTTTTGCTGAATAAACTTTAAAATTGATCCATAATCAGCAGCATCAGATATTATAAATAAACAGAGTGCTGCTGCATGGCGTCTACGTTCTTCAACTACGCATTCGGGTTTGAACCGAAGTCGCATTTAATTATCCGTGTGAACGACGACGCAAGAAATAAAAGGATTTAATGCAGCATGTAGACCTGTGAACATATCCACCTTCATCCACACATCTGGTGACTGAACCGAAGCACGAGACGAGTGAAAAGACAACATGTTGCTGCTTAAAACGGCAAAACACAGAAACTAAAGACAAACATGAAGGAAAATGAGCCACAAAAAGAGATTAGAGAGAGACTACTGGAGGCATGAATCGATATCCTGCTGAGGTCTCCTCTCTCGGTTCACTCCAGCTCCTTTACATGAAAACAGCAGAATATTGATCCTTCTTTGTTCCTTAAGCATCAACCTTAAGCTTTCCTAAGCAGCTCCCAGCTTTTGTCCCTCATCTTTTAGTCCAAATTATCCTCTCTGTTTATCGAAGAATGAGCCTAAAAACAGGAGAGAAAATGCAAACAGGCTCATCAGAAATCTCAGTTTGACTAGAGAATCGTTCCCGTTTGATTTATAACATTAACTCATCAATTTCTGGTGCAACCGTGAAATAATTCAATTAGAGTCCCTAATTAGAGGACATAAATGAGTTTTTTTAACAACACTAGATAGTTACACCAACAGATGTCTGTCTCTGTACATTAACCACAGCAGAATTGTAAAATTAAAATCATATTAAAATAAATAGATGCTCAAATCTGAGGAAACGTCGCCTGACTTGGACTGGAGGACAAAGGAATGCTGCAGCGGCTAAAGCTCACCAAACGCTGCTTCAATCTTTTCATGCAAAGATTGGAAAAAATTTATAATCCAATTAGAACCAAAAAAATAATCAATCAACCCCAGAAGGTTCCGCTGGGTTATTTAAGCCCTGATTTGTTGCTTTGCACTGAATAAATTGACGTCATAAACTGCCTTACAGAGTGGACATTTCTTTTCTTTAACTACGCTTCTCAAGCATTCCTCAGTTCAATTCCAGTTGAGCTCAAAATGCTGTTTTAAAGCAGCAGTAACCTGACGCAATAACACATAAATAAATTGCCCCAGATATTATTGCAATAAATAATAATATTGTTGTTTCGAGAGCATTTTTAAGTAAGGTAATGTTAATAATGGAATAATAATGCAAGAGCAGAGTCTCGAAGACCAATAAACTTTAAATTCAAATGAGTATTTAACACAGGAACTGGAAGTCATTTTAAATATCTAAAAAGGAAACATTTTATAAATGAATTATGAAATCTATTAACAAATCTGTCCTTCAAAAAAAACGGCTGGAACATAAGAGTTTCATCATCCAGTTTTGGTAAAAACAAGTAAACAAAAAAAAAAAAAAAAGAGAAAGAATAAATCCTGCAAATGGAAATGAATAAACTCGTTTTAATTTATTGTGTGATTAATTGATTTATTGCCACAGACCTAAGGGACAGTATTAGTATTAGTGTTTTCCAGCCACAAAGTGTCAATCAAGTAATTATGTGACGTTCAGTCGCTATAAAAATGCTCCATATATCAAACTTAACAGAAATTTGACTTCACAATTCAATGCCTTGAAATTGGGTTTCTGTCTCTTTAAGAAGCTCCTGCTCTTTTCGACACTCCGCCTTCAAGAAGTCCACACAACAACATCACAACAATATTCCTCCATTGTGCATCTACAAATGTTCCATCAGGTGTTTGCTAATTGCTGCTGGCTAGTCTGAAGGAGCTGAGTGGGGGTAGTTAGCTCCACCCACAGCTGAATGGTTACCATAGAGATTAAAGGATTTCTCAAACATTCATGAAAGAATTGAAGCACTCCATGATGAAGGAATCATTTTATAACATGATGTAAAACTCAAAAAAATGGATTTTACGTAACGCTGCCTCTTTAAGACTCTTCACACGGCTGAAGAGGAACAATTTAAAATACAAAGTTAAACGGCCCTCAGTAAATATTCCCAGTCTTTCTTTCAGGGAAAGAGCTGAACTGACAAGCCGTCACCTTTAAACCCGTGCAAATAGTAACGAGGAAAAAGGCGTTTATTATCCTTTAACCTTCAACACCGTGAGCAAGAATCAGTGACGATGTCCCGCTCTCTGTTTGCGAACACAGAGAGAGGAAGAGGAACTTTATGAGCCCCGCGGGCCACAAGGAAACTGCAGTCCCAGTCGCTTTATGTGTTGGTCAATTTAACACTGCTAACATCAGCAGATTAAAAATGCATGTGCCCAAGGACGCTGGAGAAACTCTGAGTGTGTGTGTGTGTGTGTTTAATGACGACAAGCACACCATAAACCGTAGGGTTATTACACCGGTACGCAGCTTTTACAGGGAAATCCTTCTGTTAAGTTTAGTTTTAGCAAATAAGAGAAATAAAAAGAAAAGAAAGTGAAAAAATTCAGCAGCTTTCATGGACTCACATGGTTTCATCATTCTGAAACTCCAGCTTTCCAGCAGCCATTTCGTAGTCCTCCCCTCCTTTAGCTGTCCCATCCAGGGTCCGGTAGGGGACGGCGACCAGACCCCGGGCCCCCGACGTCCGGAGAACCTTCACCTCCATCACGCCCACGCTTTCACTCACCCTCTGGCTGGCGCCTTCGAACGTGAAGATACCTGGAGACAGGATGGGAGATAAATACCTTCTTCACAAAGAGGAAAATTATCTCAAACTCTAAATCATCAGGACTTTGTGTCCATTTAACATTATTATATAGAGCTGGGACTTTAAAGATTTAATTTTGATTAGTTGAATACATAGATTTTAATCGCATTTTGTCCAACCGGAGCATTTGTATTTGCATGTTTCATGTATTTGCATAAAAAAGTTAAATGCCTATAAATACTCTTCCTGTATAAAGTCAATTGTGAATTTGTGGGATATAAAAATCTCTAAAAAATGGTTTTAATCACAAAACATCAAAATGAAACAAAACCAGCACGGTTTTAATTTATGATTTAGATGCACTGTTCTGATTTATAGAGAATGTATTACGCATGTTTCCATAATTAATTTATAAAATCTGACGCACAGCAGCGTCAATAAACAACTGCTTCTCTAGTCTGAACCTACTGGGAGTCAGCATCTGCTTAACCTAAGTTTCAAATCTCCATCTGGATATTTTTGTTTATTTTAATTGTACGACGTTCTTTAAATGCCCTGCAAATAAATATATTTGCCCATTTCTTCATAACAACTGGAGCTTCAAATATCAAGTAAGTTATTTTTCGCAATTTGCCGTCTATTAAACAGAGTTTCATCAGATTAAAGTGAAGTAAAATATGAGGAAAATTACCGTAATAACCCCATATTGCTTGGAAAGTGCAACATGTCCCCTTTCAGAAACTTGGTAATTTTTCAAAAAGCGCAGAGTGTGGCAGAATCACGGTGCTACAAGTTTGGCTCCTGAAAATGTTTCGTCTGTGACGCCTTTCGGCCAACGAGGGTTAAAAAACGATCTGATGTTTTTGACGTTAGGAAAGACTCTTGTTGTGTCTAAGTTGCGCTAAAAGGCGTTAGCTAAAATCACTAAAATAGCATCTCAATGCTAAACATGTTCCTGTTTCTGAAGAAGTTCCTGAAACACGTCAAATGGGTCGAACGATTTGTGAAACGTTACAGAGAGAATGCTGGTTATATCAAGAATATGAAAGAAAATATATTTTCTCTTTTTATTGGACACTTGGACAGCATGTAAATATGGAAAGACATTATCTGTTTATTCCTGATGTATAAAAGCTTATAAAAAATGGATTCTTGTTGATCAGAATTTCAACACATTTCGAATAGAAATAGCAATAATATGACCAACAGAGTCAGATGAAAGGATACATTGATGTTTTTTTTAATTCAGGGAGCTTTTAGAGTGATTTTTGTTTCTTAGCGATTCGTCTCACCTGCGTGGTCGTCGTCGTAAATGGTTACGGTGGCCGTGTGGTTTTCTCCCAGCACGGCTTTCGGGGTGGCGCTGGCGTCCAGCGGGGCGGCGCCGATCTCTGGGCAGCCGACCACGCGGGGGTTACTGAGATGAACGTAGAAATACTCGTCCTCCTCAAAGATGTCATCGTCGATGACGCCGACAGTAATTTCTGGAGAAAACAAAAACAGGCATCGGGACGTCAGATCCGGTAGAAAGTCCTCCTGACCCAGATCGTCTGGTAGCTGCCTCAAAGCCACCGATGAAACTCTTGATTGGTTTGCATGCTGTTTCTTTTTATAGAAAGTGGACCTCGCTCCATGCTTCTGAGCTCAGCTGTGTCTCTTACCTGGACAGGAAAAACTTTGGTGCTCAGTTTTTATTTCTTCTTCCCAGTAGAAAGTTCTCCTGGTCTGATGCTTTTATGTCTCTTCACTGCTGCCACAAATTTAGTGTTTGTTTCTTTTCATGGTTTCTGGATGTTGATTGTTTGGACCAGGTCACTGTACTGTTGTCTTATACAATTGATGCAGATGAAGGCATTTATTTTTAATTTCTATTCATCTTCAAATAACCAAATCTTTACATAATTTTGCAAGAGTGACATCTATCCATTTCCTAACATAAAATTATTTAATTCGTATTTTTATTGCTCCAAACTGACTGAAATGTTTGCTATTTTTTTCAATAAACGCTTGAGAAATATTTATTTTATAGGGCAAACCTTCCCAAGTTTGCAATGGTTTACACATCTCTTCAACATTAAAAAAATTAATAAAAAATCTAACTACTTCATTTGTTTTATTAAACTGATACCTCATCAAGTCAGTAAAGAAAATTAAAACATCACGGTAAAAGATTTTAGTAAAAATATGACACTTTCTTCATTTTGTTCATGTTCATTTTGGACACCGATGCCGTAGAAAGTCCACCCTGGTTCTCTGGGATTTTTATACTGCTAAGAAGGAATGGTTCCTCTCCACTGTCGCCACATGCTTTCTCACTCCAGGTGAGAAATTGTTGTTTTTCCCAGCTTGATCTCAATCTAACTTGGATTTTATTGAAAGACTGAATGTGATGCAAACTGATTTCATACAGTTGGATATAAACTGGACATTTGTTTTGCAGACTCAACGCGGTAGACAGAACATGCAGTCGGCCCGCAGGGCTGCAGTGACTTCCGCTGTCTGAGCAGAAGTCTCAGTGACACCGCTTTTGAAAGCATGTCATCAATGTTCATGTCACTCCTGTCGTTACCTTTGAGGGTCTCTCCAGGCTTAAACAGCAGCGTTCCTTCAGCAAACTCATAATCTGAGCCAGCGTTGGCCGTGCCGTCCTCTGTGCGATAATCCACCTGGGGCAGAACGCAGCGAAAGAGGGAAATAAAAAGAAGGACGAGATAAACGATAGCAGATATATGAAGAGGGCAGATTAAACAAAGAGGAGAGAAACAGCCTCATTAAACCGAGCCTTATGGTCAGATACAACTAAATAATTAATCATTTGAAGATGGCACAGTAAAATATTCCGTCCTTCACATTCCTATGTAAGTAAACTTTAAAAACAGGACACAACAAGCAAAGCGACCCTGAAAGACGGTTTCTGCTTGCAGGAAAAGCTGAAGTGAGTGTTGGTGGTGTGACTGCGGTAATTTATTTCTATTTTTAGCTCTTCATGAAATCTGTACGCTGTTAGAGAGACTGTGAGCTTAATTTATTTTCAAAAACACTCATTCAGATATTTCTGGTCCTGTCTCGAGGCTCGGTAATATTTCAACATCTCCAGACATGCAGGCTGCTGGTTTCATTCATTTTCAAAGAAAATGCAGGAGATTAATCCTTTTGGTAATTTTTTGGCAGACAAAAACGCTGCAAATGTAGTTGCAACGTAAAAACAATTCTGATTTTTGTCCAATTTATCTCTACTATTTCTCATAACCATCCGACGCTCTCAGTCGCTGTTGAAGGATTAGCATCACTGCTCGACAGCAAGGAGTTAGAAAACCCATTAGTATTTATTTGGAGGCAATATCACCAACTCATTTCATGAAAACTGGATTTGTCATGTGCAAAAAGGTTTAATCAGCCTTATGAGCAGAGAGAGAAGGAGGAAGTTCAAACCATCGATCAGAATGGAGCAGGAATGTTATCCCCTACTCCAACGTCTCTCTGGCTTTCTAACTATACGTCCAGACAAATCAAACTCCGGTATTCTGATTTCTGAGTCAGAAAAATCCCCACTTGAAAACTCGATCAGTTTTTCAAATTCAGATTTTGAGATTCAATATGGCCGCTCCTCGCGTCAACAACAGTGTGTTATGGTGGAAACGTGTTCATTTTATTAAACCAACCTGTAAGAGAGCATCACCTGTAACTCTAAACTGAGCAAATTTACAATATATCTTAACACAATGTTCGGATACTTGGGTGTCGCCATATTGAAATACCAACTCCTGGATCGTTGTTAGCTTATCATTCCCAGATCCAAGGTCCAGCATCTCAGCTGAACACAACGAAGTAAAAGGTTTAAAATGAATCGGCAAAAGCAAATGAGGTGGATTAGCACCTTGCCAACAACTGATGATGTCATCCAGGACATTTCACTGTGGAATATTTTCTCTGCTGTTTGGACATTTGAGCTGCTAGCATCTCAGGGGTTCTGCAGGTTTCACCAACTCACATTTAAGACTTTATAAATCCTTTTTAAGACCATCAGAAATTGAATTTAAGACCTGTATCGCAACAGAAATGTACAAACAAAAACTTAAGCTAGCTGTTTTGCACAGGATGACTGTAGCATCGTATGAGTTAGCATCAGAAGTGAGCCAGTGGCAAAGACGAACGTCGTCCACAAATCTGGTGGTAAATTTGAATTTACCTATGACGAACTATAAAAAAAGCTAGCGAGCTAGCTAGAGAATGGTATTCAAGCAGCTAATTAGCGATAGCTTCAACCACCTTACAGAACGCAACAAAAATGTCTGCCTGTGACTCTAACGTTTGCCTGACAGAAAAGTCCCATGAGAAACATAATCGACATAGAACATACCAGGTTAAATAGTTCTGCTACTACAAATATTAAGACCTGCTATTATTTAAGGACAATTTCCATTATTTCCTAATAAATTTAACCCATTTCAGGGTCTTAATTTAAATGAATGTAAGACTTTTTAAGAATTACCTTCTAGCAACAACCTTCAGTCAGAGGCCTCTTAAGATTAATTGCAAGACTGACTGCTACTGGAAATGCTTCCAGCAACAAAGTCTGTTTGAAGATACTTGAATGATGAGAGTAAAGACATTTAATTTCCCTAAGTATCATTGAGTGAAGTTTGAAAACAGCAACATTTATATTTCAAACACCTCAGACGGCGCCTGTTTTCCAGGGCTGAGATCAAGCAGCCTTTGCTAAAGAAAACTGAAAACAAAAGAGGAAAGCGTTCTTCCAGCTTGCCTGATAGCTCCTCTATCATCTGAGCCTCACGACAGCATCCAATTAGAAAAGAAAACACGTCTCCTGGAGGGGAAATCACTTCATGAGAGAGATCAGATGACGACAAAAGTGCTGGAGATGTGAGTGATCGCCTCCCCAGGTGCCTCCTTTTAGTTTTCACTACGTCTGTTAGCCTGCGCCCCCACAAACATTTTAATCCCGGCGGACTGGGATTAATTTGCTCTAATAGAAACTCACTTTGACAGTGACTCCAGGGTCTCCTCCATGTCTGGCAACAGTCAGATTCAGGGAGCCACAGTTTTCGAAGCACTGGTACAAAGACGGCTCAAACTCCATCCTGATGGTGTGAGGGTCGTCCTCCTGAGTCTGGGTCTCGTTGCTGCTCACCACCTGAGGAGCAAAATAAAGAAACACGCTGGTGAAACGCTGCCTAACGGCTGAAGGTTGAAGGTTAAAGGTCTCAGACCTTGCGAGCCTGGTCGGCGGCGTGCTTCTTCAGGATGTTTCCGGCTCCGATCATCATCCTGGTGGCCTGGATGCGATAAAACGCTCGGCTCTTCTGCTGCTGCATCAGAACCTGATCAGAAACACAATCAATAACCAAAAAGACAATCAATAAACAAGCAGATAACTGTAGATAACTGGATATGATTTAAGATTAAACATACCTTTATGGTTTATGAAAGAGAGAAACTATTTGCTTCCATGACGATTTTTTATTTTGAGTTAAATATAAATTTTTTTTTATTTGTCAAAAACACAAATGACTAAACATAAACGTAATCAATAAATGTTACTAAAAAGGGCAATCTTTCTCCAATTCACTTTTTATATTAAAGAAATACAAAAAATTAAATAAAACTTATTTTTGTTTTTATACTTGTCCAGATTACATAACATCATCTTCTAAAAATAATGACAATTTAGTCATTATTTTAACAAAAAATGACAATATTCATTCATTGATGTAGGTATTTATAGTAGATCGTCAAATTTATTTTTAAAATATTTAAAACAATGATGAAGGGAGTTAAATTACTTTTTTTTTTTTATTTTATTTGACCTTCATTTATAAAAAACCTGTTTTGATAAAGTTACAACCACAGAAACAAAACAAGCAGTGAGGAAAATTTGACTCAGATAAATAAGCTAATAAAATCTGAACAAGTTTCGTAAGAATATTTCTCTTTTTGTCTTAAAAGAAATTTGAATGCAGAGTTTTACATTGACAGGGCAAAGTTAGAAAATGTTTGTTTTCCCCAAGTTTTGACATAAAGTAAATAAATGGAAGAAAATATCCAAACGACCCTTTCCCAAAAGGAAAAACAAATGTTAGCCTAATAAGTGTTTGCAATAAATCTGATAAGTATTTAACAGAATTTTGGCCCATTTTTCACTGCAAAATTATTTTAAATTACACAGATTTTAGCACAAACAGTTTTTAAGAGCTCAGAACTTTAATTAGACCACCTCAAAAATATATTTTAGCCATTCAGAAGCAGAATTGCTGAGGTTCTCTGCATTCGATCCAAATGCACTTAAGCTGAAGGTCACAAACTAAAACATTCCCATTCTGGATTTTCTGGTGTAGAGAAAAATTTATGCCTCCATAAATTACTGCCAGACCGTCACACTAAAACCACTTTTTTCTATCTGTTTAATGTTTTATTCTCTGAAATGCCGTGAGACATTTTGTGTGTGGCTGTAAACAAACACAGAAGAAATCTTTATGAGGGTAAATACATTTTCAAAACTCTTTAGTCGGCTTGACTTTTACCTCCTTCATGAAGCACCAGACTTTTAACTCTGAAATTTAAAGCTAATGATGCTTATCAATCCAGCGGCATTGATTTCAATAAAACTGCATGCTTGAATAGTAACCTTAACGACCTCCCAAATTGAAAATGAACAAATTGGCTATCCTAGAAGTGAAGATCATTACATTAAACTGACTCTCTGTTGGCTGGGAACAATGTAATTAATGTAGGTTTAGGCAATGCGGTGCAGCTGAATCCTGGATCGATCTGCAGCAGTTTAGATGGAGGCCAACAGTAGGTGTTTTTACAATAGCAATCAGTGACATCAGTGCTATAAAACATCAGTACTATAAAACATCAGCACTATAAAAAGTTTCTCATAGTGTCTCCTAAAGCAGCTTGTCCGTAGGCCTTATTTCAAAAAGTCAATTTAGAACTCAGAGACACAGCTGAGTATCATTTCAAATGATATATGTCATTGAAAGTTTTTTCGTTTTTGATCAGAGACAAGCTAGCAGCTTTTTAAGAGTTAAGCTAACATATTTTTAAGAGTCAAGCTAGCAGCTTTTTAAGAGTTAAGCTAACATATTTTTAAGAGTTACGCTAGCAGCTTTTTAAGAGTTAAGCTAGCAGCTTTTTAAGAGTTAAGCTAGCAGCTTTTTAAGAGTTAAGCTAGCAGCTTTTTAAGAGTTAAGCTAACGTATTTTCAAGAGTCAAGCTAGCAGTTTTTTAAGAGTTAAGCTAGCAGCTTTTTAAGAGTTAAGCTAACATATTTTCAAGAGTCAAGCTAGCAGCTTTTTAAGAGTTAAGCTAGCAGCTTTTTAAGAGTTAAGCTAACATATTTTCAAGAGTCAAGCTAGCAGCTTTTTAAGAGTTAAGCTAACATATTTTCAAGAGTCAAGCTAGCAGCTTCTCAAGAGTCGGGCTAGCAGCTATTTGTCAATCAAGCTATGAAACGTAAAAGGCCAAGTTTGTCTAAAAAATAAGATTGTACCTGATAATTAGCCATCTCAATCAGCTGCTCCATGTCCTTGTCTGGGTGTCTCTGCTTCAGCTCCTTCAGTGTCCTCGCCATGTCCCTCCTGGCCTCATCATCCTCATCCTTTCCCCCGTCCATCATCCCTCCGTCCATCCCGCCGTGGCAGTTCAACGCGATCTGTCCATCTAGTTCCAGCATATCCATCTTTGTGAATCCACCCGGACCCAGCGCTCCTCCTCCTCCGCCTCCCCCGTCCATGCCGCCAATCCCTCCATCTCCCTCCGTCTCAACGATGATGCCCCGGTGCTTGTCCGCCCGGTAACGCTTGCGGACGTACTTGTAGAAGAGAAGGCGCCGGTCGGCCACCCAGGCTTGGACGACGCAGAGGGGAAAGCAGAGGAAGGTGAGCACAGCCTCCCAAACCTGCAGAAGAGAAAAGACGAGGGGGAAATGTGTTTTTTACAAATGCTGTCAATCGATTAATCACATTCTAGCCCAGTGATTAATCACAATTAATCACGATGCCAAACATTGTAAGCATGACATATAAATATGCACCCAGTTGCCTGAATGGCATCTCCTTCTGCCACACTTCAACCAATCAAGATGCAGTAGATCGATTAATCATTAATTTTAACACTTTGAAATAATGTAATATTGAATCAGCATAAGTTGACCCTTGCTCACCTCCACCTCTCCAGGAGAAATCACGCTCAGGATCATGTAGAGCCAGATGTAGGCGAACAGGCTCCATGCTGCCGTGACGAAGAACACCCGAAGGTGTTTGATCTTCCTCGTCTCTCCGTCGGGAACCACGTACACGCAGAGGGCGATGATCACAAACATGTTGAAGGCGGCGCTGCCCACGATGGTGCTGGGACCCAGAGACCCGGCCTCAAAGCCGTGGCCGCACACCTGCAGGTCAGAGGTCAGAAAAACCAATGGGGATTGTTGCTCTGGGTTGGTCTGCTGGGCAGCCACCGATCTGGACTTACCTCAATAACGGACAGCAGAATCTCAGGAGCGCTTGAGCCCAAAGCCATGAGCGTGAGATTAGAGACGGTTTCGTTCCAGATCCGGACCGTAGCTGTTGTGGTTTCACCGTTTGGCTTTTTTATTGTGATCTCCTTCTCTTGGGATGTTATGACCTGCAGACAAGAGAAAAGGCAGCAAAAGGCGTTTGAATTTATTCCTTTTTTGGAAGGTGGTGTGGATGCTACAGGTGTGAGATACAGATTATTTTGGTATTGATCTGAAACCAAGTAAATACAAAGCCAGTATCACCGATATTGACACCAATACTTTTTATTATTACTTAGGTTTGATATGTCGTCAAACTTCTGACTTTTGTCTTTTTTTATAAAGTACATAATTTCATTGGTGCTGATTTTTTTAAATGTGGGAGATCGGTGATCGGCCAATACTTATATGTGAAGCCGATTGTATGTCCTGATTTTATCTACTTTGGCAAAGGTAAAATAAAAATCAGCCACCAGGTCATGTCTGCATGTTTCCAGATAACAACAGTCTCTTCACAGTCACCAACTCAGCGACATTCTTTCTGTATTTTACAACATTTCAGACAAAAAAATATATATTTTTGACCAAAATTGGAATCAGTAGATTCAGGTTTTTTAATAATCGATATTCGGCGATCGACCAGAAAACTGCAATCAGTGCACCTCTTGTTTTTTTCTATGAAATGTTTTGTTAAATCCTGGGATGGAATTTGGACAAAGTTTATTGGCGTGTACAAAATACTTCCGGCACATCTTAACATGATAAACAGAAAAACAGCAAAGCAAAACAAATTTGTGAGTCTTGCCTAAATGAAAAACTTAGAATTTGAGAGCAAATCAAAGCAAAATCTTTATGAGGAACTGTTGAGAAACAATGCTACAAAAATTAAAGAACATTGAGACAAAATCTGAAACAAAAATAGTGATCTTGCCATGTTAGTATCGATCCGATACTGATGCCAAGTTCATCAATATTTTCGGGTCAATCTCTAATGGATACATGAGTATTTAATGGGTAACATACCTCTATGGACGACATGAACCGGTCCGCTATGATGCTCATGCCCAGGAACATGTAAATAAGTGCCACAAAGTAAACGATTGCCCGTGCCACTTTGTCCCCCACTGATGGGTTCTGAGGGTTCCAAACAGGAAGTACCACTCCTGAAACACAAAAACTAAAATTAAAACAATTTGTCTTCACCAGCAGCCATTGGACAGTGCGTAAAGCGGTAAAACCAGCTGAACAAACATGTTGGAGCTCAGCTTGTGTCACTAGGTAACAGCTGAGTGGGTTTTTTGGGGCTGAAGCAGTTGAGACCCAAATGGAAGCATTAAAATGTACAAAATGTGAATTTAGGAACCGCTTAAACATTACAGGGCCGTTTCACTCTTTCACTTCGGTGGCCCACCTTCCTGACAGGGGTCTCCGCTGGCCGTACAGTTCCCTGAAGAGTCTGCGAGGGCCGGGCACGAAGTCAGCACAGCGAGGAAGACGAGGAGGAAGAGCAGGGAGGAGGAGGAGGAGCGGAGGGAGATGAAGGCAGAAGCAGGGACAGGCATGGCCGCAGGAGCCATTGTTACTGAAGCATCCGGCCCGACGTTTAATCACTCGCTCAGGGTCAGCTCAGGATGGAGAGAGGTCCAAAACCTGCAGGACGACAGAGAGAAAAGCTCCGGTTTTATTCCAGGAAAACAGCATATCACTGAAGTGACGACGCTCTGCTCTGCATCCAACGCCCCCGCCGGCTTTTAGGGGAATAGTTGGGAGGTGATTTAAGGTGGACTCAAGCACATAAAATGAAAAAGCAATAAAAGGCGGGTCATTACATGGGAGAAAATTAGAGAGATTCTTTAGATGTGATGTAAACTCTATTAAAGTCGTGGCCTGCAGCTGTACTGGACCTACAAATAATAACCGTTTGAGCCTTCAGTTGATTGGTTGAGCCTGAGGAAAACAGATAAAAAATATTAATCCTCTTTTACTTTTTTACCTCAGACAAAAAGAGACAATAAAGACATTGTTTTTGCAGCTCAACCCGAAGACGACGAAGTGTTTTTATGTATGGTGCCCCAATAATTTATATTCAGGAGGGAAAATTGTTGAAACCTTTTGTTTTGTTTTACCATAAACAAAACAAAACTTAAGGATGCTTTTAATTTTACCTCGACGATCCTTAAAGGACAGAGAGACAAACCAAACAAACGTTTAGCAGTTTTAAGATGTAATTTGATGTCCTATAGGGCTTTACTTTTGTTTTGTCAACTAATTAAGTAATGAATTAATTACTGACTCATAAAATGACCGTTTACTGACTGAACAACAAACTCAGAGCAATTTATAAAACCAAAACTGAACGAAAAATATACATTTTCCAATTAAGATGAATAAAAAATATTTCTTTAAAACTAACTGTAAAAACTTCTCCATTGTCATCGTTTCAGCTTCTGTTGTTTCAAATCCTGTAAAAACCAGAGAAAAGGACAAATGTCTTATAAAGCACCTTTTCTGTTCAATTAAATAATCAACAGATCAACTCCACCCTGTATTGATCGATAAGTCAAGCAGAAAGAGCTGAGATGTTCACATGCTGATGTTAGAGGTATTGTTTGTTACAAATGATCAAACTAAAGAAATGTTGATTTTGCTTTTTAAGCAGTAAAATGTTTATTTTGTTATTTAAAAAAATAAATTATTTGTTAATTTTAATGTATTTCCATTATTGTATAAAATGTGCCAAAGTTTTCACACGATTCATCATCAGATTAATCCAGTTTATCTAATGACATGGTTTGGATTGACTCATATTCATGTGTGAGAACGGCCTAGTCAAAGTCCAGATTAAACCCAGCTGAGAATATGTGAATCTGTGTTCACAGACGCAGGGAGGGACGTGATGGATTCTATGTTCTATGTTCTAGGTTCTGTCCAGAAATTACATAAAATCAGAAGTTCTGTCCAAACATTTCCTGTCAAAGTACCAGGAAGTCTGTTTTTAGATCATTTGCAGTTTTCGTCAGACTCTGATAGTGTACCTAAATAACCAGCTCGCCAAAATAAAAGCTCTGCTATTCCAATATTTGCCTAAGAACATCAAACACGGAGAATTTGTTTTGTTGCAGAGAGAAACAAGGCAAACAGAAACTCGCTCTGCTGCTCAGGTACATTTCAGTTTGAGGTCGACTTTTTATGTGGATTCCTTTGACCTGAAGTCTTCCCACACTGGAGAAACGGTGAAAAACGCAGCTTTAAAATTGATTTTTCAATATTCCCCCCGGAGTCTGGTGAAAATAAGGCCTTCAAGTTTGTCTTTCTTTGCACACAGGTCATCAGAGACAGACGTGTCTGTGCAGACCGCGGCCGGTTTTATGTTGGGAAGCCAAACTGCGGCAACATGTTCATTAATCTGTTAAAAGAGAAACCGTTTTAAGATGTCGGGTCACGTCAGGGCAAATGAATCCTCGCAGTCACAGAGAAACAGCCTCACTTCCTTTTTTACATAATCTCAGATACATTCAAACACACTGGACTCAAACTGCTGACCCGCTTTTCTCAGAAACGCCAAGTACAAATAAGCGCCGTTAGTCATCTGTGGTGACATCAACGTTGGGTCCCTCACCCCGTCCTCATCCGTCTTCCAGGGTCTTCCTGCTCCGACAGCAACCTGTCACCTCACTGCTCTGCTCGCGTCTCTCGTTTCTACTCTGTGATGTCAATGCTTCTCTAACGTCTGCGAGATTTAACAGAAACTGAGACGACCCTTTCTTATCTGCATGGTCCAAATCTACTCTTTTAAGCATCTTTTCACAGCACAGAACAATAATGTTTTTGTCAAATGAGCAACAAAGGGTTTTGACTTCCTTTCAAACTGCTAATGTGCAGCGCTAGCTTGAATGACGCAGTGCGAAACAATGAATAATGAGTAATAGATCAACATATAACTCAACATATAACTCCTGATGACTATCACTCACTTAATTTTTGAAGCAACTGCGACTGAAATACAATCCAATAATTACATTATTTATTCTCGTGAGACGCTATGCAAAGGTTCAGTCTGTGCTGATGAAGATTTACTCATTTCAGGGTGATAGATGCTTCATATTTAAAGAAACTGTCAGGAAGAACAACACAGTTATTGAGCCAAAACTTTACAAAAATACACACATTTTTCATGGTATATATTTCTGATACTGTATAAAAAAGGCTGAAGAAAAACCTGCAGAATCTGCAAATTTATTTTATCTGATTAAAATACTTAATTATGAAAAGAACCATTACCTGCACCCCTGAAATTAAATAGGTGTTTTTTGTATAAAGCAAAATATTGCAGAATCTGAATAGAGAAACAATAAAAAAAATCTTCATTTTATGAATCAGTAAACAGATGAAGAAGAAGATGAAGGCAGACGAGGAGCATGTTTACAACCACTGTAGAGCAAATCACACACCAGCTTTGACCTGTTTATTGAAAGCAGTAAGAGCACTGACAGCGGCCGTCAATTCACATCAACTCAGCTGTACCTCACTGCTCTAACTCTCTCACACACACACACACACACACACACCTACACCCCCACACACACACGCGCGCGCACACACACACACACAGCCTCAGAGGGCTCGTGTCTCAGGGTTAAATGACATTTCCATTCGACTTGTTTTTATAGATTCAGCTGGTATTTATCCACTCAGTTGCCTCTCTTCTCTTCTGCGCTGCGTTTTGGGGTCACAACTATTAATATTGTGATATTATAATAGTTTATTTCTCGTGTTTCTCCCGCTGTCCTCCGTCAGGAAGAAAAACCTCCACAGTGGTGAATGGATCAGGATTTATGTCCCTCTCAGCGCTACAGGAATGTTTTATTCATGGATCTGTGAATTTGTTCGCTTTTGGGAATCTTTCTGCGCTTTCTTTGAAGATGTTGATATGAGTTCTACTGCTACATCTTTGGGTAAGTTCATCTCGTCAAACTCAGTTTCATTTTGGGCCGAATTTAAAATCTGGATCTTCTTAAAGGGCCAGAATATATTGAAAAAACCCATTAAACTGTTAAAATATTAGTAAATAGCTGTTTGTTTCGGTGTTCAATAAAATAAAGTAATACTGAGCATCTTTGTGAATATTTTTGTTTTTTATGTTGCTAATTTAGGAATATTTGTAAGAAATTTATATGACATTTCTCCCATGTATGATGTTAAACGTGACTTTTTATCAATCGCTGCATTGATGACGAACTATAGCTTGATATCAAGTGAAGCTGAGGCAGCAGCTTCACTTGATAACTCGACGTTTTTTGCCAATTTTAAGAAAAAATGTGCATCAAAAATCTGAAAAAATGTGATGCATGTTAATTTTTTTTGTGGATTTTGTATGAATTTAGCAGATTTGTGAGAAAGTGGCGGGACTAATTGATGTAATTTGGAGTCTGAAGGGCCACATAGAAAGCTACGGCGGGCCAAATTTGGCCCCTGGACCTTGAGTTTGACACATTAAACACTTTTTGTAATATTTAAACTCTTATGCAAGTTTTGGCTCCACTGAAACATGTTTAGTTGAATGAAATTAGCAAGTAGCAAAACAAGGCGGGTTATTTGAAGAGCAAGAGTCAGGATTGGTGGATTAAACCCCAGAGATTATGCAAGAGATGAACTCAGTAAAAGAATGTGAATCAGAGGAAATGAGTGCGTTTGTGGCTCAGAGTTCGGAGCCGTCCAGAGGCTGAAAAGCTGATGAGATGCATAATTAGGCAGATTTAAGGGCGATGGTGAATGCGCCCCACCGGGCCACGTTAGGGGAGCTGCAAAGCATTCTCCAGAGAGTGATCCAGATTAAGAGAAGAGAAACGGCGTTGAGGGAAACTCGCCTGGCCTCAAAGGCTTGGAGGAATAAGTTGCTTTGAAATGATGAGCAACGAATCTATAACAGCCGGAAATGGCAACTCATCTTGAAAGGCTATAAAAATAGGATAGAAGCAACAACAGCCTGAATAATTGTACGTATGCTAACGTTACATGACAAACGACGAACTGAGAACGAGCCTGGTATATTAACATAGCACAGAATAGAATAGAAAAAACTTTATTAATCCCATAGGCAAATTGAGGTTGTCTTAACATATCAAGAGTTTTTCAGATAACTATAGCATAAATAACATGCTAACAAGTTTCCCAAACTATCCGTGTCTCTCCAAATCACTAAATACAATGAAATCTTCGTCCTCGATGTCGCTTGTAAACAACTCTGCTAACTCCGAAGGTAGAATAACACAGGCCTAGAGCGCCCTCTTGCGGTTTAGTGTGAAAATAACATTTAATATAATATAATGATGTATTAATTTCCACACATAAGTTGCTCTGGAGTATAAGTCGCACCCCCGGCCAAACTATGAAAAAAACTGTGACCTATAGTCCGGAAAATACGGTAATAATGGAAGGTCTGGACGTCAGCGCGGGTCACTGCGGCACAGGAAGTCGGATGAATCCTCAGGGCTGGATCCAGAGCGATCGGGTTTGTAATCCCATGGTTTAATGTTTGCCATGTGGCTGAACAAAGCGAAACTGTTTCCTCAAGACAATAAGCCTCTGACTCACCCCTTAATTCAACTTTTCTCTAACTTTTCCATCTCCTGACATTTTAGGATTAGAGA